AACACCCAATCTTTTCTATATAAAACCAGTAAATCCCATTCAATACGATTAACAATGAAGAAAACAGTTTTACAGAGAGTAAGAATTGACTGGCTCGTGTACAACACCCATAAAGAGTGCGATAGTATCTAGTTACAGTTAAAGAGAGAAATGAAATGGGGTTTAACGTCCTACTGTTCTGCTCCGACTGGGTTAATGAAGATGGAGTTAAAGAGAGCGATTGTATCAATTATGTATAATATATTATAGTGAAGACCTTCGAATGAACTTTTAATTTAAAAGCACACAGGTAACCCACAAATCACCCAAGTTCACCATTTTATTAGGGTTAGAGACGTTTAAATGATATAGATTAAATCATGTTTTAAAATACTAAATTTAAGATAACAAAAGAACAGATTTAAATAATGTGTCTTTTTTTTTCTTCCCTGTCTCAGTGTTTCTCTTATTATGACCAATGACTTACATCTTGGAAAAGACATATAGCTTGTTGAATCGATTTCTTTATTACATTTAATTTAATTTATGAAGTTATATTGTAATCTTTACGCCATAAATAGCCCAATATCTTCTTATATGCCTTAACACCCTAACGACAGCATGCTCGGTTATGTATGGGCGTGGACCCTAAAGAATATTCCCGTATTCCCCTGTAGAATCTTGTGAATTGGCCAAGAAATTCAAGGAATTTGGATCACCGGGAGGGGTGTGGGTGTATGTGTGCGTGGGTGTGGGGGGGGGAGGGGCTGTGAATTGGCCACAGAGATTGGTCTTTCGGTTGGAATGGGTATTCATAAGTTACATAAAATATAAAATACAGAATATATTACACGAAAAACGAATAAAATACTAGTGATTTTATCCGGATTGGTATTCAGTAAGCTGGGTGAGTATCGCGCATGTCATAATATGTCAAATGCAATACAAGTAAATATTCAATAAGCCAGTAATTGTTCATGTATGCCAACTTTAAAACAAAAAGAAAGAAAGTTTATTTCGAAGTGAGTAGTCATAAACCTAATATGTATGTAGTATAGCGTTTAATATCCGTGTTAAATACAGGACAAAAGATCTAAAGGTAACCTTTGACCTAATATAAACTCGCTAAAGAGGAAGCTATCTTCGCACCTGTGTCATAATCTTAAGATAAATGTTCGAAAATATATGAAAAATAAATACCATAAAATAAAATGAAATGAATGAAATAGGGTTTAACATCCTACTGTTCTGCTCCGACTGGGCTAATGAAGACGGGCATACGCCATGCAGTGCCCTATGAGGGAAATTTTTCCCGGGCAGCGGCACTCTGACCTACTCTTATATCGAATTCCAACTGCCAAGGGATCTTTTTCGTGCACGCCCATGTATACACGGGGCCTAGATTTTTCGTCCCACCCGAAATACTAAACAGCTGTCCTTGTCAGGTCCTCCGCCCTAGACCACTGACAAGAGGAAACCACGTCGGAAAATCACGATGAACTTGCAGGAGTCGAATACGCGGCCTCAGGATATCGAGCCAACGTCTCACCCACTTCACCGTGGCTCCCCATCGATAGATCAGAATGGAAATGGCAGAACAATAGGACGTTAAACCTCATTTCATTTTAATGGAAACGATATAATCAGTTTCGTCTATGTGCTGAATTATCACAGAGTTATGTCCCCTTTAATTCCTAACTGCATTTAATAACTATTTTGAGTGTACAAACGTTTTTTGAATAATTGCATACAATATTGTTGACATCTAAATATATGCAAATTATTTTCTAGTTTTTATAAATACACCAGAACATTCCAAATCTGAATGCATCTTTATGATATTGTAAATATTTAATCAAGCATTGACATAAAATAAAAAAAAAAATGTTTTTATTAAAATAATATATAATACATTTCTATTCTCTCTTTCTATGTAGATATATTATGTACCCAGCGGTCCTCCTTTTAAAATAGGCAACTGTCTATGATTAGCCTTTATGAGTATAATAAAAGGGACTTGGGGTATAATATGGCCGGCGGGTCGCTACATTACCCACGTTAATGGCAGTTATTCAAAACCTTTATAATTTTAAATATTCGAAATATCCTTAAATATTGTGTAATGCTATAAGAGTATATAAGATATACGCCCATAAAAGGCTATATTTATACCATTATTATAATCCATCTGTCAATACGTAATGCAAAAATTATAGCAATCACTTATGTAATCTTAAAATGGGATCATAAAATTACACAGTATATGGACAAAAAATATGACATAACTACTACCTTACTGGATAAAAAGTCCTGAAATTAAAAAAATAGTATAAATATGTACTTAGACAAATGTGTAATATATTCCATAGCTATGTATAATCTAATGTCGTAAAGTACAAATGAAATGAAATGGCGTTTAACGTCCTACTTTTCTGCAACAATTAAGCTAATAAAGAAAGACATACACTTTGCAGTTTTCTCGGAAGAAAATTTGTGTCTGGGCAGCGTTGTTGCTCTTACCACACACTATCGAATTTTAACTACCAAGGCTTATTGTACGAGTACAGGGTATATATCGATTTTCGTTCCATCCGACGGAATAGACTCCTGAAAGTCCTGTATCACTGGGAAATCAGACTGAGAAATCCCGTGGAACATATCTCGACCAACATCTAACACGTGTAATATATTTTAACGCCGCCCATTTTATATATCGAGACATAATATTCCTTCGTAATTTATCATATACGTGTAGGCCTGCTGTTGTTGTTGTTTTTCATTAACTCGGAAACAAGCACATTCCTAGTTTATGTATTAGTGTTATTTCTAATGTATATTGAATCGTCTTGTGATATAAGTAATGATATATTGAATGTTGTTAAGTAGAAATCCGTAAATATTTCATATTTTGAATAACGATAATTTATAATATATCTAGAATTATTAGCGCACGTATCTCGAATTGTCTTTTTCATATATATCCGTATGTCTACAGTTATTAAGTAGAACGCATGTATATCAGTCGTCTTCGGTGAATCTTCGTATAAGTAAAGATATATATGGCTATTATATGGTTAAAGTCCTCCTAAAACTGGTTCATGTTAAAAATTAAAAAAAAGTACCAGAATGAGTGAATCCTCCCAGATAACCCTAACCCTAAAAAATAATCAAAAATTTACCACAAACGTATACTTATGGTATATGGTTAATACCTACATACATTGGTTGAGCTATACAGTATTCATAAAAGGTGAACAGCTATTGGCTGTGTATTTTACACTATCCGCTAACCACTGTACGATAATTTATAGTTTCAGTTGAGCGAAAACTTGCTTGTAAGAGACACTGTGTTATAAGGATATACGTATATATAGTACTTTTATATCGAGAGGATTATCGACAGAAAAACAATAGGATTATCATACCGCTATGATTGGTATTGTATAACAGTTTCTGATCTTATTAAAATAACAACTTAAAAGATCAATTTTAACAAATTTTAGGGATTTTTCATAAACTTTAACGACCTTTTAAGCGTTAATGTCGCTAATCGTTAATTTGACAACAGATGTTTATTTTTGTTAGAATAAGATATTTATGATTCTGATTTTGTGTTCGTATTAATCAGTTTACTTATCAGATTGCGGAGCTAGTTTGACTGCACGACTGACACGTCGCTGTTTTTGCGTACTGCGCTGGATATAAAGAGAGCGCATTTTTCTTCCCTATTGAAGGGAGCAAGGATGCAGATAAAGGCAGTTATCAACAAATTGAATAGACTCTCAACTTTTTACATACACCAGTGATCGACGACTATATAACATATATAACTAAAATTTAATCAAGCGTTGCAAGAGCAAATTTACAGAAAATTATCAGTTTTGTAAAGTGTATCAAAATTTTCTCAAGTTGTTTGTGTGAAAATTAAAAAAAAAACTACAAAATAAATTGAGGAATTTTTTCATTCATTTGCACTGAATTGGAAACTTTATTAATATCACCACATGTTTTGCTCTCTATCATTTTCAAATTTGAGCAAGTTAATTGTATATGTTTAATTTTTTGATGTAGTATATCGTCAATTGAATGTATTATTACATATGTCTTTGAATGACAACCTTGCGGCCGACCATCATCAGTTGTATAAACTCACGTATTCGATGTTGTAAGGTGATCCACTGCTTGTCGTGAACCTGCACTGCAAATATGCGTGTCAGTTTATAACAAATTGATAACAATATTATTGCAAGTTTCACCGCTGCAATATCAACAGGTACATGCAAAGCTATAGGTGACTACGTTCTTATTGAGAAATGACGAAGCGAAGAAAATCACGAGTCAGAGTACAAAACATATAGAATTGTGTTACTAATGAACGTTTTCTGCCCTCTAGTAACTTATCGTGTATTTCATTGTACACACTAACGCTTAAGGCACACGCTCAAGGTGTAATATAAATCGGTACAAAAAACGCTTTTATTTGTATTGAGCATACATGCGTAATGACAATGACCTCCGATAAACTTATTTTATATTTTAAATAATGCATTTCTCTGTGCATATAACAGAAGTATAGTAGATATTGTTAACTGAGCGACATTCTCAAGTTGACAAGATACTTTTATTAGGTGTTCTAAAGTGAACAATCATACCCTGTTTCGTGTACGACACCCACAACTACTTATAAACTGTTCAACGAACATAACCTTAAAGAGGGTGTCCATGTGGCGAAATATGAATGTTGATACGTATTAAAGAAAGAGTAGAACAGTAGGACGTTAAACCCCATTTCATGCCATTTCATACCTTAGATAATACACTTTATGGATTTATAAGTAATTGTTTAGTCAAGAACGTTTCATTTTCTTGGATTACTTATAGTTGTGTATTACTTGTGTATTGTGCAATAATACGCTAAAGTAATTACTTTCAATATGCGTTAAAAGGTAGTTCTAAATTTAGTTTATCCATGCCATTAATGAATTATTATAATTAATATTTTGTCTTTTTAATTCTTTCAGATGAGCTGAATACTCGGATAATTAGATGGTTGGATTATTGTTTTATTTCATCGCCGGGTAAACTTAAAACTTAAAACGAGTATAGTCAAAACGCAAGTGTGTATACGTATTAAGTGGATATTGTGACGTTTTATGTCAAAACACTGGATTGGATATTGTAATTTCATTGTGGATACTTTAGTGGATAACATTCGTGCATGATAATATAGCTATAGATCATAGTTTGTGTTTAAGTTTTAGTGAAAAATTAACCAATAAACTACCAAAATGTGGCCACACGGATTAAATACATCTGCTTTTTTGTTGGTGTTCCTGATCGGCAATACCGCGGCTAATTGTAAGTATATTTTGACTCTCTTATATTTTGCAACGTGTTAATTGAATTTATCGAAACTAAAGGTTATCAAGCATCATAGCTATTGTTCAATTTTAACTTACTATCCACAAAAAGGCGACAAATTACACCACCAAGGATTTATTGCTTGGTGCTCCTTAATAAAATTTAACTACAAAGGGCATCAAGCATCTTAGTCAGTTTCTAAATTTAAACTCCATACACAGAAATAAATGGGTTTGTCACCTGAAATATAGCGCAGTGGATCAGAATGACACGATTTCCCAAATCCCCCCCCCCCCTTAATATCGATTATTCCCCTGTGATATCGATTTTTCCCCTTTAATGTCAATTGTACCCCTTTAATATCGATTATTCCCCTTTAATATCGATTATTCTCCTATAATATTAATTTTTGTGTTTAACCGCAACTTTGACGATGTTGATATGGCCACTCAGCCAACTGATTGTTGTTAGAGGGGTTATTAGAATTTCAATATTTACATCTATGCTGGGTCTTCTCTTCGGTAAGTATATTGTCTTGACCGGTCATACCTCGACTAATTTGAAGTACATCTAGGTTTATCTTTCAGGTTTTTGAAATGTCGACTATGTTTACCTAAGGTCATCAAATGGCTTTTCATATGTTACATTTTTAAACACTTATAATTTTGTATGTCTTTCAAAGCCAATATGGATGTCCAGTCCCATCGGTTTTGAGAAAGATCACCGGAAGATGTGTTAGAAATTAAACTCCTATAAAATTGAAATAACCAAAATATTTTAAAACGTACGGAATTAAAATTTGAGGGGACATTGGCGTTTTGTGGGTCTTTGTGTGTTGGTTGTGGTTTGACTACACAGTTATATTTGGTATATTCGGATCACTGAGAACAAAATGGAATGAGATACTTTCAATTTAATTGCGAATTTTTACCTTGTAGTGCTAGTAAAAGGGTCTAACCGCCGATCACGTTCTCTTCTTCTCTTCGCTTCGCTGGACAATTCGTTTTTCACCGGAATTAACCGCCCTTGACCGGAAGCGACGGCGGTGCTGTTCTGTAGTGAAATTGGCTTCCCCTTCTTCTCATCTTGTGGACAATTCGTTTTTCACCGGAATCAACCGCCCATGGCCGGAATCATCCGTTGGTGACAGAAACTTGACAAAGCTCGCTTGAACCCACATTGTGGTTCGGACTTGATTAGTGGTTTAACGAACGCTTACGAAACCTGCTCTTTCTCTTAAGATATGGCTTTGTTTTTCTCAAAATGACCCAAAAAGTGTTTGTCTCAGAATGACCCATTAAGTGTAGATGAGTTCTTATACAGTATTTTTGTTGCCAATCTCGCAGGTTTACCTATATATGTGTATACTCAGCTGGTTTATATTTATTTACATAACATGAAAGAAGTGATTTTGTGGTTAAATTTTTCTCATCGTATTTATCTGTACTTAGCCCGGATTTTTTTTAAAAATCAACCAGACATTATTTAGATTGGCTTTCTTTCGGATTGCTTTCGAGGATATTTTCCACGAACATTGGCGTTTCGGCTTAGGCTTCGTTGAGTTCCAACTGTCAATGGTTCTTTTGTGTGCACGCCAACGTTAGCATAGTGGGACATTAGTTTTTCTTCCCATCCGGACAACTATATAACGCATAAGCGACAACCCAAAGTGTGTTAAATCCCGCCATTTTAATCCATCAGTTATATCTTCTATCCAGCGGAAAGGGGTGTGGGCAAAACATAACCCGAAAGCCTATTTTTGATCATGATTTATCAGTTCGTTGGAATCCCACTGGACATTGGATAACTACGATGTCCGGCAAAGGGTTGTCGAATTAGGGAGCATTCATAACAAACCCATTCTGACAACATTTCCCTAAAGGATTATTCAATTATTTATCGTGTGTAATGCCGCCATGTTTAATAAACAATTCGGCCATTTTCCCTCTTGTCTTTCATTCTGAACACGTGTTACGTACCCCAATAGCCGTTATAATATAATACAGAAAAGCTATGTCAACATTTTACGACTTTTCTACAACTCTAGTTTTCCTACGTTATATTGAAACTTATTGGCAAGAGTGAGTGACGGTATAGTCATAGTGTTAGGAAGAATAACACCATACAACTCCGCCCGTGTATATAAGTTCTGTTCAATACTTTCAATAAGTCTTTCAGCCCGGTACGACTTGGCTCTTTTCACGTACTTGAAGTATTTTCTAACATTTTATTCTATCCTCGACCAATAACGCAAATGTTAAAGGGGTTGTCAAACATGAATGGACATCTGGTTTCTTTTTAAACTCAAGATATTTAATGTGGAAAAATAATCTTTTTCAAAACATTGGCAAATACAAATTATCCGATCTAAAAAAAAATAATAAATTAGATTTCATTTCAATCAGGTACAATCTAATGTTTCGGGGCCACTGATTGGGCATTTATGAGAGTATTTAAAAGGACGCAAAATGGGCTTTATATATTCCAAGTCAACTCTGTTGCCCATATTGGTTAGCAATTTATTACGCATAAATTGAACAGACACTAGCATATTGATCAGTTTAAATTAGAATAATAAAGGTTGTCCAATCTAGCACCACGAGGGCACTGGGTTCAATTTTTTCCAAATAGTATACCAAAAAAAAAAGACGACTCGCATTCAGGGTCTTGTTGGGTTCACCCTAAATCGTTTACTGAAGAAGATGGAATAACTCCTGCTTTACCGCCTCGCAATAAAAACGTTGAAAACCCCTTTAATTTTTACACCACAAGACATAACATTGAGTGAACAGATGTTCATAATAATATCGATCAGACGTCACTCTACATGTAAATATAAACACATTATCATTCACTATATTCAATAACGTTTGACCCTTAGATCACACGGGTCAATTTCTATTCTATTACACACATTTAATACGAATCAAAATCTCGACAAGTCGCTTCGAAATTTGTTTTTTAAAAGGCCTTCGATCGTTTCTTTGCGTATATTTATTTGTATGAGTTATGATAATAAAGCTTAACTCTATATTATGAAATGTATGTTGTGTCGTAAAATGGAATGATAATAATTTCGTACTCGTGACCAACTAAAGCCAGAATTACTATACATTATATTATTATATAAAACTTTATAAGAGTTTGTTTAAAAGCGAACATGAGGTTGAATATGTAATGATTATTAAAAAGGGGAAACATTCAGCACAGGTGTTCCGTGTTTATAATTTTACCTGTATTATCAAATAAGGGACTATTTGCAATTCGTCCCTTGGGAGTTTGAAACTGCGCTTTTTGGGCAAAATTCTCCGTCTTCTTATTGAAATCCCACATATTGAAACATACATTATCTTAGTTTACATGTATTATTTAAACAAGCGACTATTTGCACTTGACAGTTTGATTTCAAAGAAGAGTAGTTCGAAACTTCGCTGCTTGGGCAAAATTCTCCACTCACCCATTACACACGTAACCATAGATATATAATGATCGTATATGTCAGTCTCAATATTACCTGAGTAGCGTGTCGACGAGATGTTAAAGAAGATTCCATTCCAAGGTGGCTCTGTGAGTGTGGCTCAGTGAGGCTTTGTGGCCGTGGCTCTGTGAGTGTGGCTCTGTGAGGCTTTGTGGCCGTGGCTCTGTGAGTGAGGCTCTGTGAGGCTCTGTGCGTGTGGTTGCGTGAGGCTTTGTGGATGTGGTTCCGTGAGGCTCCCATGAGTGTGGCTCTGTGAGGCTCTGTGGGGGTGGCTCTGTGAGTGTGGCTCACTAACCAGGAAGTCCCGGTTTGAAGAAAGGTCATCGGTATTGTCCAGTCTGGTTTCCTTCAATTTCTATCCGCTAGAACGTGGAGGCCTGAAGGGAAAAGTGTCTTCTCTTATGCAGAAAAGGACGATAACTCTATGTCATTTCCATTTCATTGCATTGTATTTGGAACTTGGGGCTAGGATACAATAATTATCTAACTTATAGAGCGATCATAAATTTACTGAAACGAAATAGTTTTAATGCGGGGCCTGTCCAAATAATTGGCTTTGACACACAACAAATTTTAATATACACAGGTCACAAATTTCGTAGCCCAGTTACCCAAGTTTTGTCATAAACAAATTTTATAGCTTTCAGCAAGTTTCCTTTTCTCTCGTTAACAAACTCCTGATTAATATAGTCGTAGCTTATATTAGGATGTGCATGGAAGTATTAGTAACACCCATAAGACATGGTATTTTCTTTTCGCCTGACAACAACCCCCACCCCCACCCCATTCATCAGATCATAAATATGTTTATGTGGTTTTCGAATCCCCAAGATTTATGTTTTATGGAGGACAATGACATACAAAAAACTTGACATCACATAAAATGAAAATTACCATACATTTTTTAATGACTCGCCAAAAAATTCTAATGGCGTAACCGATATTCCTAACTCATATATTTTAAAATGGTGTCGTGTTATCTACAAACATAGACATATTTTAGAGTTTTTAATTCACACCTGCACTATCATAAAATAGTTTTTATACTCGTGTATAAAAGTGTACTACACTGAGTTGAAGAGCCATTCCAGTCAAAAATATAATAGATTGTCAGCTATTATGTAAAGTTATGCAACACTTGAAATTCTTCAAGTGAACATATATTTAATATACCACGAGTATAAATAATCTCTTTTATCTGGGGTGTTTTCATTATAAGAGAGAGAGAGAGAGTGAGAGAGAGAGAGAGAGAGAGCGTGAGAGAGAGAGAGGGGGTTTGGGTTGGGGCGTAGTGCGTTGACAAACTTAACTTACGAGGTTAGAAGCAGTCGACCTTACTCCTCGTCACGTACAATTTTGTGACCGAACCCATGACCTGCATAGATAACATGTCGTTTGATCTAAAGCGAACACTTTTGATCTCTCAGCCATTCAACTCCCCGGTATAACATAACAAAGTTATATAAATTACGTGCACGGGGCAGGATATGTTCATTCTTTCTAGAATACCTTATGAAAC